TTGAGACCTAACTGTCATTAAACTTTCCACTGCAAGATGATTCTAGGACTGGCATCATAGTATATGTGGCCAATAGGACTGCCCATTCACTAGAAGTTTGGTACGAAAATCTGCTAGAATTTCCTTCTGTGAAAAACAAATGCTGAGTGTTTACACCCTGAGCACTGTCTGCACAGAGCTCCTTCTTTTTGTGAGCAACATCTCTGAGTTTTGTCTTGCTCGGAAGTCCACCTGCTCTAAGCTCAAGCTTGCTAGGAGTTCCCATCACTCTGACCTCCATCTTGCTCTGAGCATGATCTGCTTGAAGCTCCAATGGCTCAGAGCAATGTTTGGAGTGCCAATCACTCTGAGCTCAATCTTGTTGTGAGCATCATCTTCTATGAGCTCCACCTTACACAGAGCAACATCTGCTGCAATAGAGCTCCTTCTTGCTCCAAACTCTATCTCCTCCAAGCTCCTTCTTGCTCAGAGCTCCATCTGCTCCAAGCTCCATCTTGCTTGGAGCTCCAATCACTCCAAGCACTACCTTGCTCTGACCACCATCTGCATAGACATTTACCTTACTTGGAGCTCCATCTAGTCAGAGATCCACCTACTCTGAGCTCCATCTTGCATGGAGTTCCAATCACTCTGAGCTCCATCTTGCTGGGAGCTCCAATCACTTCAGCTCCATTTTGCTCTTAGCAGCATCTGGTTGGACCTCATCTTACTCTGAGCAACATGTGTTCTGAGCCCCAACTAAAACCTAACAACATCTCCTCCAAACTCCATTTCGCTTAGAGCTCCTTTCTGCTCCGAGCTCCTTTTTCCTCTGTCTGCTCCAAGCTGCATCTTGCGCAGAGCTCCAATTGCTCAGAGCAATGTTCAGAATGCCAATCACTCCGCACTCCCTCTTGCTCTGAGCACCATCTGCTCAGTGCTCTACCTTATACCAGCAATATCTGCTCCAGGCTCCATCTTGCTTGGAGCTCTTTTTTGCTCAGAGGTCTATCTTGCAGGTCTATCTGATCTGAGCTCCAACTGGTTTGGAGCTCCCAACATTCCAAGCTCCATCTTGTTCTGAGCACCACCCACTTGAAGCTCCATTTGCTGCAAGCTTCCTTAGAGCTCCCATCACTCTGAGCTTCATCTCCAATCACTTCCAGTTCCATTCTGCTCTGAGCACCATCTGCTCCAAGCGCCATCTTACTGTAAGCAGCATGTTCTCTGAGCTTCCTCTTGCTCTGAGCTCCATCTGAAACCAAGCAACATTTGCTCCAAGCTCAATTTTGCTTAGAGCTTCATCTGTTCCAAGCTCCACGTTGCTCAGAGATACATCTGCTCTGAGCTCCATCTTGCTGAGAGTGCCAATCACTTCCGACTTCGTTTTGCTCTGAGCACCAGCTGCTCAAGCTCCAACTTGCTATGAGCAACATGTTTCCTGAGCTAAATGTTGCTCAGAGCTGCATCGACTCCAAGCCCCATTGTGCTCAAAGCTCCAATCACTAAGAGCTCCATCTTGCTCCGAGCACCATCTGCTCAGAGCTCCAATCTCTCAGAGAAATCACTAAGAGCTCCATCTTGCTCTCAGCACCATCCGCTCAGAGCTCCAATCTCTCAGAGCAATCACCCTGAGCTCCATCTTGCTCCGAGCACTATCTGCTCAGACCTCCAATCGCTCAGGGCAATCACCCTGAGCTCCATCTTGCTCCAAGCACCATCTGTTCAGAGCTCCAATCTCTCAGAGAAATCACTAAGAGCTCCATCTTGCT